CTTACCAAGCTCCTCTCTCCCTGCTACACATCAGTGCCTGTCCTGTATACCTGGTAATGTGAGGCACTAACACCTTCCTACCTCAACCAGCTGGTAGAACTGTGATTGGCCTAATTATTAGTCAGAACTTTCTTGAGCTCCAAACACAGACTTCCAGGCTCATCCTGTGAGCATATGACAAGTTCACATTTTGTGTGTGCACATTGGGCTCCTTTGTCCCAGTGAACAACACTCCATGGAGCACCAGGGCTTGTCCAGGGCCTCTTCCTCCCCTTCACCTGTGTTTGTTGGTCACTGGGATCTGGAAGAGCTTCCTCCTCCATGTCCCAGTTGCTTGGTGTTGGTCAGGCTCTTCCCAGTTCTCTACTGATTTTCAGTTGCCTTCTACTGTCTCAGTGCTGTCACCTTGCTGGTCATTCACTCAGTGGCAATTGGAGTGACCTTTCTGATTGAGCCTGTCTATTTGTTTTCATCTCGGTGATCCAGAAAGGATTCAGGTGCTGAAAGTGGCCAGTCATGTTCCCCCTTGATCAGTGCTTCACGGGGAGACATTTCTCTTGCTGTGCAGGCCTCCTTCCTCACAGCAGCCTCCCTTCTCTGCTTTGTGGGACTGCTCCTCCAGGTCTGTGGCCTCCACTGTCTCTGCTGTCCCCAGGCTGAGGCACATTGTCTCATGAGTGCATTGTGGTTATCTGAACTTCTATGGAGATCACATCAAGGGGTCCTGCCATCCCTGTTTATGTCTGAACAGCACAGATAGCAACATGAGCAGGGGCAGGGAAATGAGCCTGGTCTTTGGGGGACAGGAGCTCCCTGAGCAGGAGCTGCTGCTGTGGTGGAGCCACCACCCTCTGCCCCTCACTGGGCTACTCTTATGTCTGTAGAGCAGTGATTCTATGCATGTGCCTGCAAACTAGTCCCACAGGATTTCCCTGCTCCAGAACCAAACAAGCTTTGGTTTAGGAAGCTTGAGACTTGCTATCCAGTGAGATCCCCAACACTGAAGCTCACCAAGGACTCTGGTGAGTCCTGTGGGAAAGGGCTGCACACCCTCATGGACAGGGCCATCCTCAGTTGGGACACCTGAGGAGCACTTTGCTTCATGTTGTGCCTAATCATTATTTATTTGTTTGTTTATTTATTTTTTGGTGGTACTGGAGTTTGAACTCAAGGGCCTCCTGTGTAGCAAACAGGCCACTCTGCCACTTGAGCCCCTGCACCTGATCCCGAGCTCTCTGAACACATCCACAAATGGGAGGCCACACCTGTCCACTCACCCGTCTGGGAGCATTGGCTTCCTTCTGATGCCCCCTAGCCATGGTGGGCCTTTCTCTGAGCTCTCAGCATGAACTCCTGAGTGGCCTCCTTAGTGGCTTCTTATTTTGGGCGTGCTTCTGCTGTGTTGGCTCAGTGGAGGGAATCACTCTGACTGTGACTGATGATTTGGGGGACCCCATCTTGTTCTGCTGGGGCTGCTCTTTGCCTGTTGTTGAAGCTGTGCCCATGCTGCATAGATGCCACAGTGCCCACAGCTACAGTGGTGACTTCTGAGAGCAGGCAGCTATAGCCATGGTCGCAGCCTGCGGGAGAACCTGCACATGGAGACAAAGTATCGTCAGCAGAGCATTGATTTATTACACTTCTAGCAAGGGGAGAAAGCAGACGCTGTGGCTTGCTGTGAGTTTCCTATGCTTTGGGCAAGATCATTACCAGGTGTTGGTGTTACCTCTAGCAGCCCATCAGAGGGAGGAGCTTGACACAGATGGGTGGGGCAGGGAAAGCTATGCTGACTTGCTCTGCCCTCCTGGGGTCTCAACCTATAGCACTGTCCTCACTGACCTATCTAGGCAGATGCCTCCTATGCACTACAGATATAACTGAAAGTCCTTATGTCAGAAGAGACCCTCACTGTGCTGTGCCAAGCCGATAGTTAACAGGTGGAAAGATGGTTAGCAAAAGAACAGACACTTCTAGGGTGGGGTTTCCCAACCTCAAATTTGCTATCTGATCCTGGTTGTTCCGTGAGGTGGATAGCGTAGCTAGCAGCAGCCCTGGCCTCTGCCCGCTAGAAACCAGTAGCACCACCCCTGTTTTTGTCACCCCAAACTCTCTCCAGATATTGCCAAATATCCCCAGGGACACAGTCACCCCCACTTGGGAGCCACTAGAGAGAAAGAGAAACATGGCTGGCATGTGATGTAGCAAGTGCTTCTGAAAACTTTGTAGATCATGCAACAGCTGCTGAGGAAAGTCAGCTCTGCCCTGAGATGAGAAGCTGGGAACTGTCTCACTAACACAGTTCGGGAGGAAGGAGACTGGAGGGTGAGGAGATGGGCATGGCGCCCATGTGATGGTAAATGCCCCTCAGCTGAGAGTAACAGGAAGGCCAGGGTAGAAGATGGTGGTGGGCAGAGCAAGCATGGGCCCTGGGACCAGGCTCCAGATTGGGCTTTTGGTCCAGAGCAAGGTCCTCAGTCTCCATATTGCCTCATCTAAAGTGGACAGAACAGTGCAGGAAGCGAGTCACCACACGAAGCCTTCAATAAATGTGAAGGGGCTGTGGTTAGGAAGCTCTCAAGGCAGCCAGGGGATAGGAAGTCCCTGGCAGGGACCGGAGGAAAAGTAATGGGTGTAAGAAAACAGGGGCAGAATCGGCAAGACTGAGGAGGTGCCAATAGTACAGATGGGGACACTGAGGCACAGAGAGCTCCTTGACCATTTCTTCTCCCACTGGATTGGGAGCTCTCCAGAAAAGACACTTGCTTTGTTCACCTGGCAGACAGTGGGCAGTCAGGAAGTCCTTGCCAAATGAACCAAAAGCCTCAGCCTGCTCTGGCTCTGCCCTGCTGGTCTTCATTTCATGAGGTACTAAGGTCTCAATACTGTTTGTCTGACATACTGACTACTTACCAGACAGCCAGCTGCTCCTGCTTTTCAGCTAACTTCTTCATGGGCACATAGGAAGAGGGGAGTTTAGCAAATGCAGATCTGTGTTTTATTTATTTTCTTATTTATTTGCAGTATTGGGTTTTGAAATCAGGGTCTACATCTTGAGCCACTCCACCAGCCCTATTTTTTGAAGGGTTTTTTTGAGACAGGGTCTCGCTAACTATTTGCCCGGGCTGGCTTAAAACCACAATCCTCCTTATCTCTGCCTCCTGAGTAGCTAGGATTACAGGCATGAGCCACCAGAGCCCAGCAGGGATCAGTATTTTAAAAGATAGAAAACTTCTTATAGCTATGAAAAAGAAGTATTGAATTTTATTTGGGGAAATAGGGGTCAGCAAATATTAGTAATTCTTAAAAATTTCTTTGTGATGTAAGTATTATGCTAATATTTTAGGGTGACCATGACCCAGTTGTTTCACTGTCTTACCCTCTTCATGTCTTTACCTAGGTATTAGGTGACTAACTTAGATGGCATGTCAAACTTATTTTCTGAATGGTTCACTCAGCTAACAACAGGAATAGGTAATTGACTGAAGTAAAACAATCAAGGGCCAAAGTATATATGTTTTCATACGTACTTTAAAGGTGGGGTTTGATGCCTGCAAGGTGGGAATCTGTGTGGTCTGTCAGCCTGGCAGAAGGAAGGAATAATAGGTCATTGGCTTGGGCCACTTACTGACTAATCAATAGAGGACTCTCAGTGACACTTGAGTTAGTCTTCAGTCATTCAACAAATGTGGATTGAATGTCTATATAGCCAGGCACGCTACCCAGAGTTGGGAGCACAAGAGTGACATTTTCAAATACCCCAAGTGGAGAGAATTTCTCTGTGCCCCTGACTAGCCAGCGTCAGCCATTAATGGCATTTGACTAATTTGGTTCCTTTCTTCTCCTCTATTTATAGAGGAGTTCTTTAATGCCAAGTTCAAATATACCATTTTGCCAGGAAATAAACATTTCTGACAGATGGAGGTTTCAAAAACAAACAAAATACATGTAACCACAATGCAAATGCCATCCTCTAATTCCTTAGTGTCATCTAACTTCAGTCCAGTCCATACTCAAATTTCTCTTATATTCCAAAATAACTTTTACAGTTGGTTTATTTTAATTGGTCCAAACAGCACCACTCACTATATTTGGTTATATTTCTCAAATCTATTTTAGTGCATGTTTAATACGGTACTGCCTATAGTGGTTAAAAAAAAGAAAGAAATTATATGTTGCATCTGGGTGTGGTGGCTCATGCCTGAATTTCTAGCTACAGGGAAGGTGGAGATCAGGAGGATTGTGGTTGGAGGCCAGTCTTCAAACAGCAAACAGCGAGACCACATCTCAGCCAATGAAAAGCTAGGCATGGTGGTATACACCTATCATCCCAGCTACTTGGGAAATGTAAACAGGAGGATCGTGGTCCTGGCTGCTCAGGGCATAAAAGCAAGACCCTATCTGAAAATTAACTAAAGCAGAAAGGGCTGGCAGTGTGGCTCAAGTGGTAGAGCGCCTGCCTGGCAAGCTTAAGGCCCAAGTACTCGCAATAAATAAACACATACCTGCATATATACATGAACAAAACCAAACCACAGCACACAAGATAGATGGGACAGAGCACACATCCATGAAGCGGCACTGATCTGGCCTGCAGCAGTGGGGTTGGAGGGATTGGTAATGTCTTCTTTAAACGCTTCTGGAGTGTTCGTGGTACAAAGTGCTTATGTTATTTTTATACTCACGGAGAAATCTTAGTAAAGAGTAAACAAGGAACATGTAATGATTCACATTTTTGTTCTTGGTGTCTTTGACTAGGCAGCTTTAAATGCCTGTTTTGAGTCTGGGAGACCCATGTGTTTTGTCTCAGCAGACACACGGCAGGTGGTCTGTGATGGGCGTCAGCTGTAGTGCAGGCTGCAGCTTTAAATCATAAATGACTTTGGTTGGAGAACCCTGTAGCCAAGTGCACATTGTTGGTTAGGGGCTGTTAGAACGAGTCAGGGTTAATACGTTACTATCAATGGTTAACAAACTGTTTTCTTCTGTCTCCTTTCCCTCAGGCCTCAACCATGTTACGAGCCTCCTTGGCACCTGGGTAAGTAATTGCTCTTAGGAATTTTTATTAACAAGAGCAGCTATATGTAAAGCTGGAATTCAAAGTAGCTTTAGTAAACACCCAGCTACATGTGGAATGAAAGGGAGTACCAGTAACTGCAAGTGATATTATTAAACTAGCATTAGCTTTTCAAGTTAATTCTCTTGCTTTGGTGAGCTGGCATCAGATGGTAAGCTGATGAATCATTCCTATGGTTTTCTATGAAATACACTTAATTTCCTGTCTCAGCGCAGTCTACAGAACACTGCAATGTCTTAAGCGTGTCTTGTGGCAGCAAGTGTAAACCTTGAACTTGGACGTGAGGACTCAGATAGGTTCTGGTGAGCCCCAGACAGCTTTGTGGTGGGAGCTGTGAGATTGATCATACATCCGAGGTGGTCATCACCTGCTTCCTGCCTGAGTGACACCAACCTCAGCCTGTTTGCTCCTGCCACTGGCTCTGTGATCTTCTCTGTGCCTCAGCTTCCTCATTCCATGAGAATGTAGTTCTACTATAGGATTGTTGTGAGGACAGAAACAAGTAGATGTGTTGAAGTACACAGTACAGTGCCAGGGAGTCATAAACACCATCTGGAGGTTTGCTAATACTATTCTCGGTGACTTAAGGCACAAGGCCACCTACAGAGAAGAAAGGGGGTGAGCTTATGGAGGACATTAAAGAGGACAGAGGAGAAGCGTGACAAGTTTTTGGTCAATGGGAGAGTGGCTAGGTCACTTGGTCATGAGCCTAGCGGGCAGACTTGCCCTCACGGACAGGCATAAAATACAGCCCAGACATGGCACACCTCCTTCCCTCCAGAGCAAGCACCCCAGCTGGAGAGCTTGACCAGACTTCACCTTGCAGCTGGAATGCTTTAGTCTAGAATAAGAGCCTGTTTAAATTTTAAATTAAAATCATCTTTTTGGATTGGGGGTATGGCTCAAATGGTACAGCACTTGTCTAGCAAGCTCCAGGCCTGAGTTCAATTCTCAATACTGCAAAAAATGCTAACATAATTTTGAGTTACAGAAATAATGCATACTCTTCACCCATTGTCTATGACTCTCTAATTATTTCAAAAGAAAAAACTAAAAGCCAAAATAAGCAACAACAAAAGAATTATTTCACAAGCCCAGTACAGTTAATAGAATCAGGAAGTCAGCACTGATATAGGCTGTGTTTACAGTTTACACTTGTTCTATCCAGAACTTTCTCTGACCCAGAAGTTTCTTGAATTTAAAATGTTCTTCATCTTTGTCCTTATGACCTTGGCACTTTCTTTTTTTTTTTTGCCATACTGGGGTTTGAGCTCAGGGCCTACACCTTGAGCCACTCCACCAGCCCTTTTTTTGTGATGGGTTTTTTCGAGATAGAAACTTATATAAACTATTTGTCCAGGCTGGCTTTGAACCGTGATCCTCCTGATCTCTGCCTCCTGCGTAACTAGGATTACAGGTGTGAGCCACCAACGCCCGGCTACCTTGGCACTTTTGAAGAATACTGACCAGTGACTTAACACTGGAATTGTGAAAGTAGCTCTAAACTCAAAATAGTATCTTCCTCAGGAAAAAAGGTAAAGAAAAAAGTCTCATGCATGTGTCTGTGAGCTTCCTGCTGGAGTAGAAAATAGAAGGTACTGACAGCTTGTCTGTTGCCCTCTCCTCTGGCCCTCTTGCTGCATCCTGTTTGTAAAATAAAAGCTAACATTAAGATATAGTAATGTTGTAATCCAGCATTGGGAGGCTGAGGCAAGACGATCATGAGCTTGAGTCAGCCTGGGCTGCACAGCAAGACCCTGTCTCAAAAAACCAAAGCCAGGCGCCAGTGGGCTCATGCGTGTAATCTTAGCTACTTGGGAAGCTGAGATTGGGAGCATCGTGGTCTGAGGCCAGCCCAGGCAAATAAGTTCTTGAGACCCCAGCTCCAAAATAACCAGACCAAAATGGGCTGGAAGTGTGGCTCAAGTGGTAGAGAACCTGCTTTGCAAGTGAGAAGCCCTAAATTCAAACCCCAGTTCCACCAAAAAAAAACTAGTATAGAATTTTTCTTAAGTAATGCATGCTCTTTGTAGAAAATTCGCATGCTATTGAAACATGAAGAAAGTGTGACGTAACTGAAATCCTACTTCCCTGAGCTGTTATCTCAGTTTCAATTCCACACTTCAAAACAAGTGCAACCCTACATCTTCAGTCTTTTCACCAATCTGTATATGTTACGTGACCTCCTTTTTTCCTTGAGGCTGTGAAGAATCCGATTTTTACCTTGTTTTGGTTTTTAGTTTTCTATTTTGAAGTAATTATAGATTACCCCAGCTTCCCCAGTGGTGACATCTTACACGACTCTCACATACCATCACCAGGTAGAAGCAACATTGCTACAATGCTGTGGACCAGAGACGCCTTTCAGCTCTCACTCTAATCTTTTATTCACAGAACAACAAAATGTGAGGACATTTGTTTCAGTAACAAGGAATCCAAAGGGCTTCCTTTTGTTTCTGGGTGACCAAAGGCGGGTGTTGGGTCAGCCTAAGGATAGTCCACTCCAGTCAGATCTCTCTCCATTGAAGTCTGGCTTCTCCTAGAGTCTGTGGAGTTTCCCTGAGGAGAGTTTGCAAATTGTCCTACAACCTTCTCACAGGCTGCTCCCTGGCCACGTCCTCTGCCTCCCCAAGGGTCTAGTTATCCCTCTAGCTTGCTCCAGACCCGGGCTCTGTCCCTCATATTCCCCAGGCTTGATGGGGACAGTGGCTTCAGAGTCTTAGGTAGAACGCTGGGGCCATGCAGATGCTAATAGTCTTCGGTCTTTGCTCAGAATTCTGAGCAGAACTTCTGTGGAAGTTCTCCAAGGTGATTTCTTTGCCATCAGAGGGAGCCCTGGCCTAAGGTGAAGGCAATGCTTTTATTCCTTTTTTTCCCCCTCTGTGGTATTGGAACTGCCTCATGCTTGCTAGGCAAGTGCTCTACCACTAAGAGAGTGTTTTTTAACATTGATCAGGTAGAGACCCTTGTTTTAGCAAGAGGTAATACAAAACCTCAGTCCATCTACTGGAACAGGCAGCACTGAGCAGGTTGAGGCTGGGGGAATCCTGGAAGCCAGCCCTCCCTGTGGAAATCTGGAGTCCTTTGTGGGACAGCCAGGCCACTGGGCCATTCCTGTCTAAACAGCTCTCTAGTGATGTCTTGAAGCTCAGCAGGTGTAATGAATGTGACCCTTTGCCCCTTTTTTCTTCTCTTTGAACTTGCAATGCTAAATAGGAAGTTGAAGGATGTTCCATTACTGCCCTCCCTGGATTATGAGAAACTGAAGAAGGATTTAATTTGGGGGAGTGACCGCTTGAAAGCCTTCTTGTTGCAGGCTCTGCGCTGGGTAGGTACCTTTGCCTTGAAGTTAAAAATTGAAAAACAAAAGATCAGTCTGCTTTTCTTGCTGGCTGCTTGCTTGTATCTTATAACCCTTCTACCAAAAACCTTTCCTCATGCTGCCAGCAAGAAAAACAAGCTCTGAAATAGCTGTGGCATCAGTTGTCATTGCCTTCACGTGGTACTGTGACAGTGAGCTGCCCTGTCATCCTGCCCTTCCCTGGTTAGGAGCCACGCTCAGCTCAGGGGTCCACACCAGTGTGCAGCCAGGATGCTGGCAACTCCGCAGGGACCCCTGTGTGCAGGTGTTGTAAGATGGCCACTCTGGGAAGACCCTAGGACAAACCCTAGCACATCACAAGTAAGATTAAGCCACCTCTAGGTTTGCACCTTCCTTCCCAGTCTTCAGGTCTGGGATTCAACCAGCTTTCTCAACCCTTCTGGTCTCAGACCCCTGCATGTGCTTAAAAATTATTGAGAACCCCAAAAAATTGTGTTTATGTGAATTTCATCTGACTGTCTATTATATTTGAAGTTAAAACTGAGAAAACTTTATATATATTTATTAATTTATGTAAAATAGGTAACAAAATAACATTTTTATGAAAAATAACTGTTTCCAAACAAAATTAGAAGAGGGCAATGTTTCATGCCTTTGCAAGTTTCTTTTCTTGGTGGGACTTGGGTTTGCAAGCACAAAGCAGGCACTTTACTGCTTGAGTCACACCTCCAGTCTGGTTATCTTGGAGCTAGGGGTCTCATGAACTATTTGCCCAACTGGCCTCTAACCACTATCCTCCTGATCTCAGCCTCCCAAGTACCTAGGATTATAGGCATGAGCCACCAGCTCCCATCTGCAATTTCTTTATTGTCTGGCTTCATGGGGGACAGCTGGATTCTCAAATCTGCTTTTGTGTTTGATTTGCCACAGTGTCACGCTTCATCTAGCCTCAGATATTAATCATGAAAATAGCAAATCATGTCTTAATATTACTGTGAAAATAATCATGTCCTTGTAGACCCCTTAAAAAAAGAGTAGTAGGGACTCTTCCCCACTCCACTGCCAGTCAGGTTCCCTAGACTATATTTTGAGAACTGCTAACTTAAGCCAACACTGGTTGGCTCTTCCACTGAATGATCCATTCTAACTCACCCTGTGTTAGTGTCAAACCCTTTCACCGATTCTCAGATTTCAGAGTATCTTGGCATCAATTTCCCCATCTCTGAGTAGAAACAGTCCTCACAGGTATCTGGTAGTAAATCCTAGAATGTGGCAGAAAGAAGACTGAGGATGCACCCAGAGCCAGTAGGGAGAGCCCTGTGTTCAGGCCATGGTGCCTGCTCTAGTGTTGTGGGAGTCAATTGACTGGGGTGGGACAGTCTGGTGGTAGAACAAAAGGCAGCAGCCTCCTGATGTGGCAGTCTTCACATTCCTTCAGCAGAGACCCTTCTTCCCTCATGGCCTCCCTGGTCCATGGGGGTCAGGCAGGTCTGCTAGCAACCCCTACCTCCCTGGGAGGCCTCCATAGTGCTCTGGTCTGTTGTGTCACATCTGGGGCTCTTGCCTGACCTTTGTCCATGCTGAGAACCAGGATGTTCTCTACACACCCAGCTTCTCTTTATCCAGAGCAGAGCCTGCAGCCTCAAAGTATTTATCTACTAAGACTTTCCTGGAAAAACGAGCACATCTGTTCACGTCAGGCACATGCGGTTCTCATATTCTTAGATCTGTCTGTACCATGTGAACACATGCATTTCATGTGCTCTCCACACAAAAGTTTCTTCTTCCTCTCTGGACATTATGTAAATTCTTATAGCATATCAGCATATCAGATATATTAGCTTCCGAAAGTCCATAAATTTCCAGCTAGTAACTCTCTACACACATACACACACACTCACAAATTATTGCTGTAGGATAAGATAAAGCCTAATTACTTGGCATGACATGCATTCAGAGCCCTCTACAGTCTGCCTGGGACCCTACCTGTTGATCTACTATCACCCTGCATTTTTTGGTACCTTTCTGAGCTGGACCATGCTTCCCCATCCCCCACACTCACCTTCCCCAGGGCTGGTTAACAGTCTGCTCACCTTTCAGGGCCCACTCTAGTCTTTCTAGGTGTTGGCGAGCTCTGTTATCTGCATTCTGATAACCTGGGAATTGAGCCCATTCACTTCTCCTACGTATGCTGACTCCATCTTTCTCCACATCACCCTCAGGAAGCACAACGTCTGGGTGACTAGCCTTCTCAACCCATTATATTTATTTTGTTTGACTCAGTGCTCAATTCCTGTTACTGTATTAAGTGCTGTTTAAACCATACCTGCTGAGGATAGTAAGTTCAAGGCCAGCCTGAGTACATAGCAAGACCCCGTCTCAAAAACAGAAACAAAATCAAAACAAAAACCATACCTGCAGTGAGGAAATTTTTTTCCACATTAAGACTTGGGTCCTGTTCTGATTTTCTTCCCTCCAGCGCTTAACCACATCCCATCCTGGAGAGCAAAGAGAGACGGTTCTGCAAGCCTATGTCAGCAATGACCTCTTGGACTGTCACAGCCACAACCAGGTTGGTAAGAGGAGGCAGGACCTTTGACCATAGGGAAGGACCTTCTCTGCACATTTCAGCATGGTGACACTGTGTCAGCCTTGAGCTTGATAGCTGGTCAGATCTGTCGCTCACATTGTGTCCAAGCAAGCTAGAACTGCCTCTTGGTCATTTCTTCAGTGGCTTGCTGCCATGTTCTCAGATTCCACACTCTTAGCCAGGTGCCAGTGGCTCACACCTGCAATGCTAGCTACTCAGGAGGCAGATATCAGGAGGATCGCAGTTTGAAGCCAGCCTGGGCAAATAATTCTCGAGACCTTACCTCAGAAATACCCAACACAAAACAGGGCTGGCAGAGTGACTGAAGTGGTAAAGTGTCTGCCTAGCAAGCACGAGGCCCTGAGTTTAAGCCCCAGTATCCCAAAAAAAAGGAAAGAAAATTCCCTAGTCTTTCCCTTTTCACACTGCTCACCTACCTTTTGCATCCAAGCCATGCTCAGTTGTCAGGACTTGTGGTGAGCGGTGGGGGATGGGAAAGAGTTAGGAATTTTGAGAAAAGGAAAATAGCAGGCAGCAAGTCTCTGCAGAGACAAACCAAGCAGCTGTTCTAAGTGCTTGGGGACTTTTACTAGATAGAAGCAGCTGAATAATGTATTTTTTATGCTTTCCAAACTCAAGTTCAAAGAGGAAATTCAATACAGATTCTTTGTTTTTGTTGTTGTTGGTGTTCTGTGTTGTTTTGAGATGGGGTCTTGTTTTGTAGCCCAGGCTAGCCTTGAACTCACAATCCTCCTGCTTCAGCCTCCCGAGTGCTGGGATTGCAGCTGTGCACCCCTATGCCTGGCCAGATTCTTCATAACTATCATGTTTTACTGAGTCTTTTTTTTTTTTTTTTTGGTGGTGCTGGGGTTTGAACTCAGGGCCTCACACTTACTAGGTCCATCACTTGAGCCACTCTATCAGCCCTTCACCGAGTCTGAGATGCACTTTTCCCCTCCATTTTAATAACTATGCGTCTGGGGTATATCACACAGTCAATGATATGCTATAGTTCATTTGGCAGTGTTTTTTTTCCTTTCTTGATTTTACATTAAAAAAACAAAGTATCCTCTGATAAAAGGTTTCTCACATTTTCTGATACTTGATTTTGTTAAGATGCTATGATCTGTAAAGCCACTGAAGAAAGAGCACAATTTCATCCAGGAGTTGCTATGTTAATTTCTGTGGTTTGTTCTTTAAAGAAGGAATAAGCAGGAGTTCTGTAACAATGTTAGAGACTGCAAAGCAGGAAAGCCCTGTATTACAATGGATGCCAGGCTGCCCTGACACTGGAGCAAATTAACCTGTTCAGACTGGAATCCAGCTGATGGTTGGTTAGTTCACTGTCACCTGAAGGTCTCTTTAGAACCAGAAAAGGGCCCCACCTACAGATTGTGTCCAGTAGAGCTGGGCGGGGCCTGGGAACTGGCATTTCCATCAAGCTTTCAGGAGATGGTGCTTTGGGAACCAGTTCCCTGGACCAAAAACTCCAACTTGAATCAATCAAATGAAACTGCAGTGAGTTGAGACTTCCATTTTAGTTGAGTTGGTTTGACATCACATAGTTAGTTACACTTCTATGGAGGTGCCGATGTCAAATTGTTCACATCTGACAGTTTTACCTACTTAACATAATGTATTTATCTATACAAAAGCCCAGTTCCTAAATAAATCCAAATTCATGTTTTCAGTTGTTATTCTTGAAGGTGAGTATACAGAATATTTGGAAACAGTTTAAAGAGTAGCTATACTACTTTTCCATCACCCAGATTAAGAAACAGAAATTTATTGGCCTTAGAAGCTTGGAGATTGCACTCCCTTTCTTTTCATGAACAAGTAAGGTGGGGCGGGGGTATCTCTCATCTCCACACTTCCACCAATCCTTTCCCCTTTCTTGAATTGGAGCAGTTTCCACTCTTCCTTACCATCTCCTTCCATCCTTTTCTGTTATTGTTTGTTTGGGTTTTTTGTGTGTATGGATTTGTTGTTGTTGTTTTCAGTGCTAGGGATTGAACTCAGGGTCTTGAGAGTGCTCTGCCCCTGAGTTATATCCCCACCCATCATCTTCTTGCCTGACTTACTCTCTCGGCAGAGCACATCCTTCTTTAATAACTACTAGACAAGAATACATAGACAGCTGTTTTTGAGATCAGTCAGAAAATGTCTTTATTTTTTGTATATAGTTCTAGGTTGTAAAAAATTTCCCTTTAGAATTCTGAAGACATTACTCCTTTACCTTTGGGTTCCATTTGTGTTGTTACGAGATTTAAAGCCATTGTATTTCCTGGCCTTTTGTATGTATCTTGCTTTCTTCTCTCTAGAAGAGGTTGGATCTTCATTTTAGCACCATTGTTAATGCTTTTCCCTTTGGTGGCCTTCATGAGATGGGTTTTGGTCCATGGTTGTGAACGCATTATTTTTTGTTGTTGATTTGGTAGCCCTGGGTTTGAATTCTGGGCCGTGAACTTGGTAGGCAGGCATTCTACTCCTTGAGCCATGCACCTAGCCTAGTGAGCTCATCATTTGTGGCCCTTTCAATCTGCCAGCTTTGGTTCTGGGAATTTCTTCATTGTGTTGAAGATTTCTTCCCTTCTGTTGGCTCTGTTCACTTTTTCTAAATGTTGGCCCTCCTGAACTGGCTCTCTGTTTCACTTCTCTTTTTCTGTTTTTACTGGTTTTTTTTTTTTTTTTCTCTCTTTGTTCTACTTTCTGGTAGTTCCTCATATTTATTTTCCAGTCTTTTTGTTGAGTTTTTCTTTTTGTGGTATTGGGGTTTGAACTCAGGGCCCATACCTTGAACCACTCTACCAGCCCGTTTTTTTTTTTTGTTTTGTTTTGTTTTGTTTTGTTTTGTGATGGGTATTTTCAAGATAGGGTCTTGAGAACTATTTTCCTGGGCTGGCGTTGAACCACAATCCTCCTGATCTCTGCCTCCTGAGTATCTAGGATTACAGGCATGAGCCACTGGTGCCCTGCTCTTATTTTTAAATAGTATTATCTTCTTTCACAGATGTTTCAGCTTCCTTTACTTAGGAAGTTATCAGTGACTTTATCCTTAGTTTTTGACTACCTACACAGCCTTCTCCTCCTGCCACCGCCCCATTATTTTGGCTTTGTGTTTCTTGTTAGAACCTTTCCTGGGGTGTCTGGTGGTCTGTGGTTATCCCTGAGGAGCCTGAAAGCCCACTGGGAATTCCAGGTGGGAGAGTGGGGCCTGTCCACAGAGAGCTTCACTGCGAGGGATCCAGTGGGCCGTTATGGGAACCACTGCATTCAGGATCTCTCATTCTTTCCCTGGCCAGTCATGTTCCTCTGAGCAGTCTTTCGTCAACCCCTGATGGGTAAGGATCTGATTGCCAGTATTCTGGGAGCCAAGTAGGGGACAGACGGGGGCGGCTCTCTGTTCAGCATTCGTTCTGCGTTTAGACTTTCACCTCCCCCCTCCATTTTGGTAGATCTCTGTCCCCCTGGGCCTGAGACCCTCTGTGTTACCCTCACATAAGATACACCCTGCCCGGCCCTACCCTTCGAGGGGGCCACAGGGACAGGACGGTGGGATCTAGCCACTTGGTCAACACCCTTGGTTAGCACGTTCCTGGGTTCTTCAACCTTTTAGGAGTGAGAGACGGCACCTCGGTAGTACCTCCTTGCCTAGGACTACCTTGAGATCTGGCCCTCTGGGGCTGGCATCCACTCCTGGAGTTATACTATACATTCACCCTGAGAATGTATACCTTTAATAAGCCCATTTGTTATAATTAAGTCATGTCTTGAGGGAGCAGAATTAAGTGTGTGTTTGGACTCTGCTGCTCACCTGGAAAAGCCCAGGAGGAATGACAGTCAACAGCACAGCCTCCTGCGTGTCGGACACCACATAACTCAGCATGTGATTTAGAAGTCTGCCCTGTGTCATCAGATATTAGCTGGAAATCAAGACCCCCAGTGGCACATTTGACTTTAACCTGTTTATTTCCCTCAATGAATTCATGCAGAGGAAGAGGACAGCCAGAGCCTCCGAGGAGGTGTACAGCTCTCCTCCTCCTGACATTGCTGTTTGTTCTCTCCTGTCACTTGTCCTCACAGAGGAGTGTCCTACAGCTGCTGCACTCCAAGAGTGATGCGGTTCGGCAGTACACGGCCAGGCTCATCAACGCTTTGGCGTCCCTAGCTGAAGGTGAGACGCACCTCCTCGGAACAGAGCAAGATCATACGGAAGCAGCTTTCCTGTGAAAATGGTCTCCCCACATTTCTTAAAGTGATCCGTATTTTCTCATTTCATTACTGTTTAATTCATTTAAAGTCTCTTGTGAAAATTAGTTCTTCCTATAATTCTAGCTACCCAGGAGGTAAAGATAGGACTGTGGTTTGAGACAGCCCAGGCAAAAAGTTAGCAAGACCCCATCTCAATAAATAACCTGGCTGTGGTGGGATACATCTGTAATCCCAACTACTCAGGAGATACAGGTAGGAGGATCATGGTCTGAGTCAACTAAAGTAAAAAACAGCTGGAGGCCTGGTTCAAATGGTGGAGTACCTGCCTAGCAAGCGCAGGCCCTAGTTCTTGTCATAATTGGCTTAGTTTCTGTCAGAGCAAATTTTGCTGCCTTTGGGTTACTTTGTAACCTTCTGGTTTTGTAGCATTTCTATTTAGATTGTTTTCAAGTATATAACAGGTAATACTTTTTCTCTAACTTCTGCTGGTGAAACAATCCAAGCTGGTTCCGATAGGCACTATATATTCCTTCAGTGGAAGGATTTGAAAATACCAAAAATAGCATGCCAAATTCAAAGTGATTTTAAAGTGCCTTTATTGTTCTCATGCATTCTTACTCATGTGAGGTCTTTTTTGTGTGAATAAAAGAGTTTTAAAGTTATGAATGCATGATGCTCCAGAAGTGTATCTGCTCAGCGTCTGTCGGTTTTCCATCCGCTTGGCAGACGCTGTTACATCTGGGCATAACTGAGAACCATTCCTGTAGCACTCTCTCAGGGATGAGGGTCAAAATTAACACCTTTGTGACCTCTGAGACAGTACAGAAGTCCACAGCAGGGTAGTGACCATCTGGGCTTATTAAAGGGTCCAAGTAATGCTCCTGCCTTCGCTAGATGCAGGGCCTGGCTAGAGGCAGCAGGGGTGTGGGTAGAAGCACAGGCTGAGGACCTCCTAACACACCCGCTCCCATTTTTTCCTTGTAGGTGTGTCAGGCTCAGTGAGGGACAGTGCTCCCCATAGAACATGGCAATGGCTTATGTTAGCTTACAGGAAAGATTTCTATTCAATACATAGCTGGTTGAATAAAACCAACTTTTAGGAGAAATACAATTTTTTTAAAGGACAGGGTTTCCCTGTGTATCCCAGGCTGGCCTCAAACTCTCAATCCTCCCAAGTGCTGGGATTACAGTTGTGTACCATCACACCTGGCTCAGAAGAAGTATATTTTAATAATTTCTTTTAGAGCATAAAATCACTCAAATTTTACTGTGTTGTGTGCAAGCAAAGTTTTCATAGTAAGTAGTTTTGGAGCCTGCTACATTAATCCTTTCCATCCTCACCCTGTTCATCTGTGGTATGTCACCAGGTCGCCTCTACCTTGCCCAGAACACAAAGGTGCTGCGGATGCTGGAAGGAAGGCTGAAGGAGGAGGACAAGGACGTCATCACCCGGGAGAATGTTCTCGGGGCCTTGCAGAAGTTCAGCCTCAGGTAATGACCATGCAGTGGGTCATGGTGGCCTAGGAAATCAGGTTGTTTTTTTTTCAGCCACTATTTAGTGTTTATTTAATTCCCATAACAAGGAGCACGTGTTACTTTTCTGCTAACACTTGGGAGAGGTTGGGTGACTTTCTGAGATGGAGCTGGAGAGCTTACCTCTGGTCTAAGCTCTCCTGCTCAAGGCTTCTGGGGCTGGAGGAAGGCGTTATGGTGGGAGCACCACTGCATTCTCCTAATGAACACTGGGCATTAGATTTGCGCCTCGGGCCTCCTGCAGGGTGTTGAGACAAACACACCAATGGTCTTCAAGTTGCTCCCAGTCCCTGTACCAGAAACATATGATGGCTCATCCTGTGGGGGTCAGGGTTAGAGCCTCCTGGCTGCCTGTGCATATCTCAGCAGCCTTGGTCTCCTCAGCCTGGCCCTGTCATGACCTGGAAGCTCTCCTCAGAAATTTAAAACTCAGGTACTTCTTGGATTGGATCTGGCGTCTTGCTAGAGCTTTTCAGAAATTGACATCTTATTGAGGTGTACTGTGCATATCAAAAAATTCTCCATTGTGGGTGGACAGGTCAGTGGTTTGTAGCAGATTTGCAGAGCTGCACAGCCGTCACTACAACCTAATTCTAGAGCATTCCCAGCACCATGAAAAGACACCTTGTACCACTTACAGTCACTCCTCATTCCTACCCAGCCCCAGGTAGACTTACTTGTCCTTCATTTCCATTAAGTGGACTCATAAAAAGTGTGTCCTTGTGTCACAGCACACGTTAGTACTTTATTCCTTTTTTTGCCAAATAGCATTCCATTATACGACTCTCACATTTTGTTTATGCACTCCTCAGTTGATGGGCATTTGGGTGGCTTTCACTTTTTACCTGCTCTGCACACCTGGATACCAGTCTCTGTGGGCGCACATCTTCCTTTCTCCTGGCAAGCTAACCAGGAGTGGGATAGTTGGGTCAAGTGGGAACTTCCAGAGCCCGACTCCCTCAGCACCACCTCACTCTCCTTGACTTTACATAAGACAGGGAAGATTCACTCCTTCCTGGTAATATGGATCTTTACTGACAATTTATTCTTTTCCTCTGAACAGTAATTTAAGCCTTGCTGGGGTTGGGGATTTAGCTCAGTGGAAGAGCGCTTGCCTGGCAAGTGTAAGGCCCTGAGTTCGGTCCCCAGCACCGAAAAAAAAAAAAAAAGGAAAAAATAGAAAAAAAAAGCAAAACAAAAAAGACAAAAAAAAAAAAAAAAACAAGGCAACTAAGCCTTGCTGTTATGCACAGTGTGGTCTCCTTGATTCTACTGTTAGACTGATTGGGTTGGTGTAGGGCAAGAGCAGATACTCGCTCTACTACTCTGGGTGGTCATTCTACCTTCTTCAGATGATCAAGAGAGACAAGTGCTGGCCCCTCTCGTGTTCAGATGTTCAGCTAATATAGATGGCTTCTCGTGGTGGCACCGTGCTAATGTCATAAGTTCTTAAGGCTGACAAAAATAAGACATTTACTATTATACATATTGAAGAAGCATTGGATTTTGTGAGATTTTTTTTTTTTTCCTAGCACTGGGGATGGAACCCAGGGCCGTACACTTGCTATACAGATACTCTTACCACTTGAACCATACCCCTAGCCCTGGATTTTGTAAGATTCTACACTTGGACTTTGAGTGGAAAATCATTCTTTATGATTTGTATCACCCAGGTTGTTAATCCACCTTAATCTATAGACAACTGAGTCAAAATGGTATTGAGTTGGGGTTTTCCCATAGCTCCAGCCTGAGCTGGGTTGGATAGAGTACAGTTTAGGTAAAAATCCATGTTTCAAAGAAGTTTTTCTATGGCCCTCTTTTCTGGGTTAAGCAGACGAAGCACTGTTCATAAATACTTGTTAAATATTTGAAATAACTCTGCTAAGCTTCAGTATTGAAAAGGAAGCTTTCAGAGCAGAGGCCTCCTCCCTCCCTTACCTTTTGTAAGCTCATTATCCTTAAAAGGGAAAGAGTTTTGTTGTTTCAGTTCAACATGAAATACTACTCAGCACCCACTCCCTCTGTAGCTCAGTCTTTCTGCCGGGACTCACGTCACTGCGCCCTCTTGGGGCAAGTCCCACGCCAGTTAATTCACCTGAGGCCATTTCATCCTAGGCGCCCACTGCAGACTGCAATGATCCGAGATGGCCTCATCTTCTGGCTGATCGATATTCTGAAGGACCCCGACTGCCTGTCCGACTACACGCTGGAGTACGCAGTGGCCTTGCTTATGAACCTCTGCCTCCGCAGTGCAGGTGTGCAGCCCCTTCCACAGCTGCGCATGGGTACACGCACACACACGCATGCACTCACCCTGGTAGGGGATGGGCAGAGATCCTGACCATGAGTCTGGCTTCCCAGTGATCCCAATAGGACTTGCTGTTTGTCTCCTTTATAGAAAACTGACACAAAGCTATGTGTGAAGCTGAGTCCCTGAAGCCAGAATACCATTCTGTTCTTGGGAAGAATGTTTTGTAAATACAGTGCCCACATGAAAAGGAAACTAAATTCATTTTGTTTCCTTTGTCTTTTTGCATTACTCAAAGGTAGGACGTTAAGAATTAGGGTCCCCTTCTCTGAAGCCAGGGAAGTGTGTTGCCAGCATTCTCCAGGATTAAGTTGGTGGCAGAAGCTATGGCATTCTTGAAGCCATGCTTCTTGTGGGTACTCATCTTCCCCTCTCACCCTGGAGATGGAGGTTCACATGGCCATTGCAAGAGATTTACATGCTTGCTCAGAAGAGGCATCAGGCCCAGGCTGGAGCTGCCTCCCTCCCGGAGGGTCTGGAGAGAAAGGTGACCTAGATGGATAGCCAGCTCAGCAGGCTTGCTCAAAACTCTTCACCTTCTTTGTACTCTGAGCTGCCTGACTGTGTTGACTGTAAATGATGATAATTTCAATCTTCTGCTCTAAAATAGCCTAGGCAAAAGCCCTAGCTTTCAATTTTTATCTGATTCTAATCACTTTTCTTCAGCATCATGGATCTATTTACAGTACAGTAATGATGTTGGGTGGTAGGACTTTGTCATACTGTGTATCCACTTTCACTACTAGAATCAGCCTGGGCACCGACTATGTAGTAACCACACAGTTACTGAGCACTTGGGGCTGTGAGAGTTCCTCTGTGGACATTGGCTTCCTTAATTCTGTGTCACCCTTTAAAGTAGGTGTTAACTTAAAAAGCTAGACATTGATCTACCATTTGATCCAGCAATACCACTCTTGGGGATATATCCAAAGGACTGTGACACAGGTTACTCCAGAGGCACCTGCACACCCATGTTTATTGCGGCACTATTCACAATAGCCAAGTTATGGAAACAGCCAAGATGCCCCACCACTGATGAATGGATTAAGAAAATGTGGTATTTATACACAATGGAATTTTATGCAGCCATGAAGAAAAACGAAATGTTATCATTCGCTGGTAAATGGATGGAATTGGAGAACATCATTCTGAGTGAGGTTAGCCTGGCCCAAAAGACCAAAAATCGTTGTTCTCCCTCATATGCGGACATTAGATCAAGGGCAAACACAACAAGGGGATTGGACTTTGAGCACATGATAAAAGCAAGAGCACACAAGGGAGGGGTGAGGATAGGTAAGACACCTAAAAAACTAGCTAGCATTTGTTGCCCTTAACGCAGAGAAACTAAAGCAGATACCTTAAAAGCAACTGAGGCCAATAGGAAAAGGGGACCAGGAACTAGAGAAAAGGTTAGATCAAAAAGAATTAACTGGGCTGGTGGAGTGGCTCAAGTGATAGTAAGCTTGCCTGGCAAGCATGAGGCCCTGAGTTCAAACTCCAGTACTGCCAAAAAAAAAAAAAAAAAAAACCAAAAAGAATTAACTTAGAAGGTAACACCCACGCACAGTAAATCAATGTGAGTCAATGCCCTGTATAGCTATCCTTATCTCAACCAGCAAAAACCCTTGTTCCTTCCTATTATGGCTTATACTCTCTCTACAACAAAATTAGAAATAAGGGCAAAATAGTTTCTGCTGGGTATTGAGGGGGTGGGGGGGAGCGGGAGGGGGTGGAGTGGGTGGTAAGGGAGGGGGTGGGGGCAGGGGGGAGAAATGACCCAAGCCTTGTATGCACATATGAATAATAAAAGAAAATAAATAAATAAAAATAAAGTAGTTGTTAATCCCTATTTTAAAGAGGGGACTGAGGCCCAGAGTGATTAAGTAACTCACCCAAGGTCATCCAGCTCATGAATAGTGGAGCCAAGATTTGTACTCAGGTCTGCCTGACTAGAAAGTGCTTTTGGGTGTAGACATGTCATGTGTTTTGACTTGTTTCCTACAGGGAAGAACATGTGTGCCAAGGTGGCAGGCCTCGTGCTGAAAGTCCTTTCGGATCTTCTTGGCCATGAAAACCATGAGGTACTCAGTCAATGCTGCTTACCCTGGGCTCGGGGGTGGTGATTGGGACTTGAGTACTGGTGACCTCACGGGAGAGGGGCTGGCCCAGGCCAGTTGCTGCATTTGACAGGTATACATATATAATCTCCTCAGGGTGATTTTTATAAGCAACTTCAAAGCTTTTATAATTTGTAAAATTTTGGAATTCTGAAGCATGGAATTGTTCCCTCACTCCTAATTCTCTGGCACCTGTGCCCTGGTCTGGCCAGGTTCCTCCCATGCCTCACTTTTTCTCCAGTCATCTGCCCTGGCTTTGTTCCTCCCCCCAGCAGCACTCCCTCGGTGTATTTCATGTCTGGTCTGTGGACACATATGTGGCCTTAAGTAGAAATGACCTGTGTCTGGGTATTAGCTACTTGGGAGGCAAGTAGCCTCTTGGGAGTCCAGAGGACCATGGTTCAAAACACACCCAGGCAAATAGTTAGCAAGACCCTATCTCAAAAATACCCAACACAGAGCTGGGCACCAATGGCTAATGCCTGTAATCCTAGCTACTCAGGAGGCAGAGATCAGAAGGATCACAGTTCAAAGCCCACCCAGGGCAAATAATTCCATGAGACCCTATCTCAAAAAACAACCCTTTACAAAAATAGGGCTGGTGGAGTGGCTCAAGGTGAAGGCCCTGAGTTCAAGCCCCAGTACCGCCAAAAAAAAACTTTTTTTTTTTTTGCCTAAGTGGTATTATAATCTAGAGCTTCTCCCGTGCGTGAGGTTTCTCCGTGTTTGGGACTTTCTATATTGTTTTACATGCACTCATTCACTAAGCCTCACTGCTCCCTGGCTCGCGCCCTGCCACGTTACTTTTCAAGTCTCTCGAGGGTGGACACTTTGGTCACCTCCATCTCTGCTGCCAGCGCTGTCCCTGTGGAAGTACCACAACCACCCCACAGGAGCCTGTGCAGAGCTTCCCTGGGGCCTAGAGCCCTTGTCACTCTCAGCTCACAGTGTATGCCAGGCTCAGGTCACCAAGTCCTGCCAACTTGCCCCCCAGAATGGCTGGAATAGCTCTGGCTCTCACAAGCACCAGCACCACCCCCGCTCTCCCCACACACACACACACACACACTTGTTTTCTAACTTACAGGGGCCACAGACCCTTTTTAAATAACTCAGAGGTATAGCAAACACATGAACAAAAACTGATCAACAAAGATGATGATTCCCTTGCTTGCCGGTCACAAATCTTTTGCAGAGACCATGGAATGAATGGCTCTGCATTTTGGTTGAGGCCAAAATGCAAAATCAGACCTCTTTTGACAGATCAGGCACAGAAGTGTATCGCAGTAGGACAGGACTGGCAGAACCTCTGAGTTTTGAGGGATGCACAGGGTGCCCAGTCTAACCCGGCAGCTCCTGTCCTGTTGAACTCATTCACAGCTCATGTTCCACGGCCCCACCAACTGATGGGCATGGCTTCCTCAGGAGGTGGTAGCTGGGTCATGGTCACAGTTCATGCATCGTGTTTTCCATTTCAAAATGACTGAGCTCTTCTAGGATGTTCAACTTCACTAAAAATGAAGATGAAACAACTTGTAGGACTCTTTTTTCACCCATCAGATGGGAAAATGTTAAAAGTGACAATGGCTGCACGCCAGTGGCTCACACCCATAATCCTAATTTTGGGAGGCTGAGATTGGAAGGATCCAGATTCGAGGCCAGCCAGGACAAATAGTTTGCAAGACCTAATCTCCAAAATAACCAGAATAAAATGGGCTAGAGGTGTGGCTCAAGCAGTAGAATGCCTGCTTTAAAGTGCGAAGCCCTCAGTTCAAACCCCAGCCCCACCAAAAAAAGAAAAAAGAGTGACAGTGAAGCCCAGTGCTCAAAAGGGGTGCTGGGCAGCATGCCCTCCTTGTCATGTGCCATCCTGTGCTCACTTGATGTTAGGGTTACGTATAGGAACAAAGTATGGTCCTGTTCCCAGCTCTCAATAGAGGAGACTTAAGTGGCAAAGGCCTCAGATCCAGTGCAGAGGAAAGGGATGTACAGGAAGCGGAGTGAGCACCTTTGGGGTTCAGAAAAGGCTTGCTAGGAGACCTGTCTGAGATGGGTTCAGCTGAGTCAGCTGCCAAGGTAGATGGGGAAGAGCATTCCCAACAAGGGGCCATAGCACGTGCAGCTTCAAGTAGTGTGGAAGCCTGGTGGTGGCAGGGGGTGAGACCGAGGGTGCCACGGATGCCACCCCTGAAGAAGCCTGTGCATCCCAGGATACAAGGAGCCAGGACTTCCCACATGGGCTCAGAGGAGGAGTTCTGAAGTGGGAAGAAGAGTGATTTAGCCTGTGTTGTAGACTCTGGGCGATGAAATGATGGTGGTCAAAGGGAGAGAGCATCAAAGATAGAGAGAGTAGTCCCTCAGTCATAGACAGTCCTTGTGTGACAAGGACAGTGGCCATGGACATGGAAAAGGGGGTTCTATTGAAGTCAGCTCAGAGATGGAGAGATGGAACATAAGAGTAAACAGAAGAGTCAAGGTTGACTCTGGAGTTTCTATCTGCATGATCAGGACATTAGAAATGGCTTCACTTAAGCAATGAGATGTAGAGGAGGAAGCTTTGGAGGGAGGGATGCTTTTGTTTTGTTTTGTTGTGTTGTGGCACTGGGGTTTTTACTTAGGACCTACACATTGAACCACTCCACCAGCCCTTTTTAGTGATGGGTTTTTTTCAGGATAGGGTCTCTCAAACTACTTGCCCAGGCTGGCTTTGAACCTCTATTCTGATCTCTGCCTCCTGAGTAGCCCTAGCTATAGGTGTGAGTCACTGGCACCCGGCTAGGTTTGGACACTTGCAGCAGTCTCAAGCAAATGGAGGTATCTGTCATTTGAAAACGTGCATCCTAAGCTCTGGAGAGCAGGGACACCTACTTTCCTTATTGGCCAGAGTGTTCTCTGGAATGAAGCCTGATAATTGAGTTATGTAGGGTTTAAAAACTTGCAAGTGACTGCTTTTTCTCCCTGTCAAGATACAGCCATATGTGAATGGAGCTCTGTACAGCATCCTTTCCATCCCATCCATCCGTGAGGAGGCCAAAGCAATGGTAAGAAAATGCACTGAGCAGTGGTGCTCCACCACACCACGGTCACAGCTGCACAAGGACTGCCCTGATGGCTCCAGCCGTGGAGGGGCTTCACATAGCTTACAGATGTCCTGAAATGGCAAAACACATAGTTGTGATTTTCTGAGGAGAAAATCTGTAGCTTTTATCAGAATCTCAAGAGGATCCCTAAATTCTAAATGTTTTAGAACCACAATGTCAGAAAATTTCTAGCAGGCTTATTTTTGCAAAGTTGATGACATTCTGATAGGTATGACATGGATCAGAAAAGCTGGCATTATAAACTGCCAAGTCCTTGGGGTGGTTAGCAAATAGTGAATTCACTGTTGATGTATGTACATTTGTGGTTATATTTGAAGTAAAAGAACAGCGGTCAGGCGGTTAGGACTAGACTTTGAGTAGACAGATGTTTCTAGGTCTAAGCAGCCAAGCCACTTAGGCTTTGTCCTTTTTCCTCACATCTGTGTGGAGGCAGGTAACTATGTATTCAGTGATGCAGTGAGGGATTAAGTGTGTTTCCACACTCAGCACAGGCTCTATTCAGATGAAGACCACCAGAACATTCCTCCTTTTATTTTGGCTTATAGAGGAATTGCTAAATCTTCTAGTTGGTCATTGAAAATCATGTCGTTACACCAGAGAGGAAAATTTATTTAAGAACCATTTTGTGTGATCACGCCAAACAATGCAACTTAGTTACCTACTGCTTTCAAATTAAAAGTCTGTGTTTGCAATATGGAACAGGGAAACTAAACTTGATTTAATTCTGTATTGTGGCCATTTAGATGAAAGAGAGGGATTGTCAACCAAGGCAAAGGACAGGAAAAACCATGCAAGCTGAAGAGGAAGCAAGAATGGAGGTGACACAGCCTCAAAAAGAGGGAGGGCTGAGGCGCAGCTCCATGCAGAGCACTTGCCCAGCATGCAAGAACCTCAGACTTGATCCAGCAAAACAAAAAGACTAAAATAAAGTAAAAATCAGGCAATGGGAAGGAGAGACATCCTGCAAAGGGTTAGAAGACAGGAGGGAGGGCAACTGCAGGATACAGCCCACGTGAGGACAGTGTCACCTTTCTTCCTATAACTTGGAAGAAAGAACACCTCGGGGACCTACATATCGAGACCCTCTTTCAAAAAACCCAAACAAGTCTGGCATGGTGGTACATGCTGTAACTCCAACACTTAGGAGGCTGAGGCAGGAGGATCTCAAGTTAAAGGTCAGCCTGCACTACAGAATGAGACCCTGTCTCAAGAAACAAACAAAACAATACATACATACATCTATGTTATAGCGTTCTCTTGAGGCTATATGTATAAAATGTATAGGAGATATAATGAATTTTGTGTTTAACCCTTCCCCAAGATGGCTAATTTTATTTATGCAAATATTTCAAAACCTGAAACCCTTCTAGTCCCAGGCATTTTGGATAAGGGCTGCTCAGAGATACCCAGTTTATGTCTTTATTTTTATTTATTTTTTTATTTTATTTATTTTTTCTTTTTTTATTATATTCATATGTGCATACAATGTTTGGGTCATTTCTCCCCCTTTCCCCCGCCCCCTCCCTTACCCCCCTAACCCCTCGCTACCAGTCAGAAACTATTTTGCCCTTATTTCTAATTTTGTTGTAGAGAGAGTATAAGCAATAATAGGAAGGACCAAGGGTTTTTGCTGGTTGAGATAAGGATAGCTATACAGGGCATTGACTCACATTGATTTCCTGTGCGTGTGTGTTACCTTCTAGGTTAATTCTTCTTGAACTAACCTTTTCTCTAGTTCCTGGTCCCCTTCTCCTATTGGCCTCAGTTGCTTTAAAGTATCTGCTTTAGTTTCTCTGCGTTGAGGGCAACAAATGCTATCTAGTTTTTTGGGTGTTTTACCTATCCTTACACCTCCCTTGTGTGCTCTCGCTTTTATCATGTGCTCAAAGTCCAATCCCCTTGTTGTGTTTGCCCTTGATCTAATGTCCGCATATGAGGGAGAACATACGATTTTTGGTCTTTTGGGCCAGGCTAACCTCACTCAGAATGATGTTCTCCAGTTCCACCCATTTACCTGCAAATTATAACATTTCATTCTTCTTCATGGCTGAGTAAAATTCCATTGTGTATAAATACCACATTATTTAATCCATTGGTCAGTAGTGGGGCATCTTGGCTGTTTCCATAACTTGGCTATTGTGAATAGTGCTGCAATAAACATGGGTGTGCAGGTGCCTCTGGAGTAACCTGTGTCAGTCTTTTGGGTATATCCCCAAGAGTGGTATTGCTGGATCAAATGGTAGATCAATGTCTAGCTTTTTAAGTAGCCTCCAAATTTTTTTCCAGAGTGGTTGTACTAGTCTACATTCCCACCAACAGTGTAAGAGGGTTCCTTTTTCCCCACATCCTCCCCAACACCTGTTGTTGGTGGTGTTTTTGATGATGGCTATTCTAACCGGGGTGAGGTGGAATCTTAGTATGGTTTTAATTTGCATTTCCTTTATTGCTAGGGATGGTGAGCATTTTTTCATGTGTTTTTTGGCCATTTGAATTTCTTCTTTTGAGAAAGTTCTGTTTAGTTCACTTGCCCATTTCTTTATTGGTTCATTACTTTTGGGAGAATTTAGTTTTTTGAGTTCCCTATATATTCTGGTTATCAGTCCTTTGTCTGATGTGTGGCTGGCAAATATTTTCTCCCACTCTGTGGGTATTTTTATTTTTTGATGGTCCTGGGGTTTGAATCAGGGCCTCATGCGTGTTCCACAGGTGCTCTGCCATGTGAGCCCTTGCCAGCCCTTTACCATGGTCTCTAACAATGACTGCCTGACAGGGGCCTGAGCTCTTGGTTCCTTACTTTGGTACTCTGTGTTCTCATTTTCATGCATATGGTCAGTGTTGTGTCCCTGTTATCTATCCCATCTTCCTGGACATTTTTATTTGGCCAGGATTATCTGAAGTGACAAAGAGACAGGGTCTCACTTTGTAGCCCCGGATGTCCTTGAACTTATGATCCTCCTACTTCCTAATGTGATCCACCTTCTTAATGCTGGTGCTACAGGTGTGGATACCACTTCCGGCAAAACACTGTTATTTTTTTATGACTTCTCTTTCCTATAATTTAGATTAAATATTATCTAATATTGTGCTTTTAAAATAAGTGAAATGTCTTGTTGGAGTGTTTTCTATTAAAATGTCTCCAAATAATCCTCCATACTACAGAGGAGTTTGTTTGTTTTCCAAGTAACGACTGAGTGAGAGATATATGTCATTGGTATGGAGAAAGCCTCATCAGCTCCAGCTATATGCATTCCTGCAGGGAAAGAAGAGGGAAAGGAACTGGACCCTGTGCCTAAGTCAGCATCTTACCTTTATGTTTCCCTATAATTCTGTTAACCAATATTGAAAATTCTTGTCTTGTTGTATTACAGTAACATGATGGCATAGTGTAGAGACCCTAGAATTCTTCTTGATAGAAAAAGAATGATGTCTGTTTAAAGAAAGCTTTTGTTTGTTCATTTACTTCTCTGAACACATGGTTCCACTTTTCAACCATATTTGGCCCTGTGATCCAGAAGGCTGTGTATAAACTTAGGGAAAGCACAGGAAAGAAGCCTCTCAAAACAACACATTGCCAAAACTAAAGGCAATACCACGCAGTACATGTTTATAATAGTTTTGGGAGGTTTTTGCTAAATGTTATAATTAAGTCAAATAGTCAAAGAAAAATTTCACTTGAGTTATAAAAGAAACAAAAAAGAAGGTTTAATACCAAGCAAAGGAGTTTTATTATGCATAGCCTCTTCCTCCCACAGAAAGAAAACTGTCATCTGGATTAAGATGATTGATTAGATGATTAGATGATTGGATAACTCTGAACACTAACTGTTACTCTCTTGCCCTCAGGGAATGGAAGACATCCTGCGCTGCTTCATCAAAGAAGGCAATGCTGAAATGATCCGCCAGATAGAATTCATCATCAGGCAGCTTAATTCCGGTCAGTTTCTGAATTGTTCTCACAAGTCAGAAAGATTCCTGGGCTTTCTCTGAGGGGTTTGTCATCCCTTGAATGTCAAGCAGAGGCCTTTAGGGAAATGGGGAGATCTGAGTGAACTCACAAGCCAAGTAGTCAAGGGCAGAGTGTCCAAACATTTAATGATCGCTTATCACACTCCAGATTTCTTATCTTTTGTTGTGTAGGCAACAAAGAGGAGTTCAAGACTGCAGAAGCTTTCCCTAACCTTATAAGTTCTCTTCATGGGCTGCTCCCTTCCTCCTGTAAAATCCTGCCCCTCCTGTAAGGATGACTGCCCCAGGTCCTGGGGTTGGTCCATGAAACAGAGGCCAGTCTTTCTAGCACCACTGTAGAAATGTCCTTCCTCACTTACTCATTCACTCCCAGAAAAATGTACAACTGCCACCTGGCAGCATAAAGGAGGGAGTGTGGTCTTCTTTCTATCACCTTCCTCCATTATCACAGCACACATCCCAGAATAAACAGGAGAGGAGGGCCAGAGAAGACTGGGGGAAAGAAGGGGGCAGTTCCTAGCTCTTTCTATGCACTCCTGGTACAGAAGCCCCTGTGCTGTCAGCACAGGAGGTGACAAATCTCTCCATATCCTTTCCTGGCACCTAGCAGTGTAAGCACACAAATCCTGTTTAGCACATGACAAAAAGGTCAAAACTAAATGTTCTCATCTCTCCTCACTAGTCACTTGGCCAATGCCAAGTTCCAGGAAAATGCCAGAAGGCCACATGTCTTGCAATCAGGGTCCCCAGCGTGGGCTGCACCCACACCTACTAGTGGAGTTCCTTCAATTGCTGGGAGGAGCTTTGATGCTCCAGGGGGCAACGAGGCAGAGCAGCACTGGGAGCTTTGAAGTGGTTGCCTTTTAGGCTGCCCTGCTGTTACCATTTGAACGTTGTCCTCACTGAAAGCTAGTGTAATTCATCTCAAATCAGGCAGGCAAAGTATAGAACTTTATTTTTTGCTTTTTTTTTTTTGGTGGGTTTGGGGTTTGAATTCATGACTTCATGCTTGCTAGGCAGGTTCTCTACCACTTAAGCCATGCCTCCATTCTATTTTGCTCTGGTTATTTATTTATTTTATTATAATTGGCAGTACTGGGGTTTGAACTCATGGCCTCACCCTTTCAAGGCAGGCAGTCTACCACTTGAGCCACTCCGCCAGCCCTTGCTCTGATTATTTTGAGATGGGGTCTCGTGAACTATTTGCCTTGGTCTGGCCTCAAACCCTGATCCTCTCCATCTCAGCCTCCCAAATAGCTAGGATTACAGACATGAGGCACTGGTGCCAGCTAGAACTTTATTTTTGTAGCAACTTCAGTTCTGACTCTGAGCTCCTATCTGGCACAATAAAACAAACAAAATGAAAGAGCAGTTCGCCCTCAGACCTGGCTGAGGTTGCCACTTCTCTCTGGGTCAGCCACAGTTGAGAGGGGAGTTGTACTTGCCTGCTCCATTGCCATAGCAGTGCCAAGACTCCCTCCAGGCCAGGGGTCTCCTGTGTTTCGGGGTCACATTTTGGTTGGAAGCTTCCTCAAGGCTCCTCTCTGTCCAGTCTGTTGGGCACACCCACATCCATTTCCTTGCCAGTCTTCCCTCCTGCCTGGCAGCCAAGATGTAGGAAGCTGGCCCCATTAGCTCTCCAACCCAAGAGCCATCTTTCTCTTCAGTAACCTGGCCCTTGGACCAGCACATCAAAGAGCCGTGTGGGAGAAGACAGTTCTCGTTCTTGCAAGGGGTACACTTTGGCAAGAAGTCATCATAGGCTACAGCTTTGTAACCCTGGATATTCTGGAAGGTGTAGGAAGTGCCTACTCAGCTCAGTGAGTTCCTTTTATTTATTTTTATTTTTTTTTCATTTTTCTTTTATTATTCATATGTGCATACAAGGCTTGGTTCATTTCTCCCCCCTGCTGTGAGTTCCTTTTTTTTTTTTTTTTAAAATAAGGGCCAAGAGTATTTACATTTCAGTCTCAAGTCCCTAGGTTACTCTTTATTCAGAGGACAGAAGTAGAACCCCCAAGATGCCTCCCCAAGCATCTGCTGCTTTAGAAGTATTTGAAAGTCACACACCCCTTAGGACGTGTGTCATCAGCATCCAGTCTAAAGGGACCTAGTGGTGAGAGCATCTGGACAGCTTGCTTCCAGTCTTTACTCTCACTTGAGTACCAAGAGCAGAGCATGGATTGGCACTACTTTCCTAGTTTAAAATACATGAAATAATATCACCACCATCTTTGTTTAGAAGCTTGGCTTTCTTGTTTATTTTAGTGAACTTAAGGGCATGGGTGTGAGCTTTCATACATTCAATCTGAATGTCAGTCTCCCGCACTGTTTTTCCAATAAAGTTTTAAGTATATTTTAGGAGCCTAACCCATAACAGGCAAGGACTGCATTGGTGAAGCCTAGAGGAAAATTCCAACCTGGTGACAGTGACAAGTGTCACCAACAACAACAGCAATAGCAGGGTGGTTTGTCCCCTGGCTTGGGCCCAGGCCACAACTCCAGTCATGGAAGAGAGGTCAGAGGCACCACAGTGCAGGAGCAAGGCAGAGCAAGTTCCCAGCACTAGGCCCTGTGGTTACGGAGAGATGGCACCTCATGGGGCAGGCACCAACTCAGGGTTGGTGTGGGGAGCAGAAGCTGAGGTTGGACTGGATTGGATGGTCACAGGTGGTGGGAAGACTCTGAGCCTGTGGAGGTGAAAGGATGATGGAATCAGGGAATGGGAGCTGAGTTGGGGAGAGAGAGAGAGTGGAGTCTGTGTGTGGCCTTTCCAGATGTGAGCTCATGAGAGGTTTGTAACTGGTGACCATAGAAGCATCACCATTTTAAAAACATTTTCTGAAGGAGAACAGGAGTGCGCTGTTCATGGCCAGGGACGAGAAGTTAGACAGTTAACTCTTACCAAGAATGCAGGATGACATAACAGCTAATGTCTGCAGTTTTACTAGGCAGGGCGTCTACCACGTGAGCTACTCCACCAGCCCTACAGCTAATGTCTGCAAAGTAGCTTCTGTGGCAGTGGTGCAGGTCAGTGGGTGTGGAGATAGGCAAGCCTGTGAGGTGGGGACAGACTGTGCTGGCCTGCTGGCCTGGGACCACTGAAGTCTGTGAGACCTTCCCTGTAAGGGTGAGGCAGGGTTGAAGACATGGGGTGATTCCCTCCATGGCAGTGGTTTGCAGGCAATTAATTTAGATGTTCCTGCCACCCCCCCCCCCCCCCCCCCCCCCGTTTGACTTCTCCCCTCAGGCTTTCTTTACCTTTGTGCCTTACCTTCAAGAAATGAGTGCTAATAAGGAAGATGCAGTGGGTTCACAGGGAGGAGGGAGTCAGGTGCTGGAGCTGAGTTGGGGAGAGAGAGAGAGTGGAGTCTGTGTGTGGCCTTTCCAGATGTGAGCTCATGAGAGGTTTGTAACTGGACCATAGAAGCATCCACCATTTTAAAAAAACATTTTCTAAGGAGAACAGGAGTGCGCTGTTCATGGCCAGGACGAGAAGTTAGACAGTTAACTCTTACAAGAATGCAGGATGACATAACACTAATGTCTGCAGTTTTACTAGGCAGGGCGGCTCTACCACGTGAGCTACTCCACCAGCCCTACAGCTAATGTCTGCAAGTAGCTTCTGTGGCAGTGGTGCAGTCAGTGGGTGTGGAGATAGGCAAGCCTGTGAGGTGACAGACTGTCGGCCTTGCTGCCTGGGACCACTGAAGTCTGTATACCTTCCCTGTAAGGGTGAGCAGGGTGAAGACATGGGTGATTCCCTCCATGGCAGTTTTGCAGGCAATTAATTTAGATGTTCCTGCCACCCCCCCCCCCCCCCCCCCCCCCGTTTGACTTCTCCCCTCAGGCTTTCTTTACCTTTGTGCCTTACCTTCAAGAAATGAGTGCTAATAAGGAAGATGCAGTGGGTTCACAGGGAGGAGGGAGTCAGGTGCTCTGCCCCCAGGGATGTGTGACCAGTACAGCGGGTAGGAAGGACACTGGCAAGACAGTAGCCATTTGCTGGTAGTAAGCAGGGATGACCCCAGGGGGAGCTCACATTGGGAGTTCGTGTAACATACTGACCACGTTCAGTGTGGGACGAGGGGTGAGACAGCTCAGTGAGGGTGTCAGGGAAGGCCTGCTGTGAACTTGCGCCAGGTGCTTTAGCTCTGCTGTGTTGTAAAACCCTCCCAACAGAGCCAAGTAGTACGTGGTCTGATGCCATTTGACACGTAAGGAAACGGCTTGTTTTCTCTGGCTCTGTTGTACAGTGAGCTTATGCTCCCTTATAAGCTCTAAGGAGCTAGTGACAAGCCTCAGAACCTTCAAGAACCCTTCCTGCTGCAACCAACCCCCCTTCCCTGGCAAAGGTCACAGCGTTTGGAATCTCAGCTGCCATTTACATGCAGTGAGTCTACAAACAAGTCCTAATCTACACTGTGTTTCTGCGTGTTACTAAGCAAAATGCAGGCTGGTAGTCAACAAAGCCGTTGGTGAGGATTAGGTGAAATAGTATCTGATGCCAAGAGGAAAGAATAGTTTACTTTCCTTCCCCAAAATGTCCTTGAATTACATCAGGTGTGTCTGTCTGCCCCCACACCCATTTCTTTTCTGTTCTGTTCTGGCCTAGACCATGACTCTCCTATTTTAAGCTTCCCGTTGTTGATAGAATGACAGGCATGCGCCACAACATCCAGCTTTTTTTCCAGTCTCACAAATGGGGTCTCACAAACTTTTTATTTTTTTTTTTAATGTTTGAAACAAAAATTTATTCTCAGAATAATGCACAAAAGCACAGGGTGAGGCTAATGTGGAGCTTCCCTCCCTTCCTCCTCCTCCCCCTCCTCTCTGAATGCCAGGGAGAAAGAACACAGTTGAAGGAAACATGCAATCACAAACAATGATCAACTCTAAAAGACAAAAAAGGTTTGGTCCAAAAGAACTCAACATAATTAATCCAATTACTGTGAATAGCCTCATTGAGTAGGATTAAGATATTGCAGTTGTAGTGTTTCCACAGGGTGGCTCTTCAGTGCACCAGGGGGGCCTGCTTGAGGGAGATGAGGACTGAGCGCATGCGGGAGACATCTTTGGCCTGTTTGCTGGACTTGGGATTAAAGTCACACAGCCGGGCCACCCGCTCCCACTCCGTGCCTGGGGAGGACTCATCAATGTCGTTTACAAAGGCTTCTTCTGCTGCCCTGTTGTTTGCTTTTGTTTTCTGTAGCTGCTCATCCTGTCTTGCATACCACTCTTCTAGCTCCTTTATTGCTTTTTCTTTCCACTTTGCTTCTTGTTTCCGAGAATTGGCATCATGTAGAGACACCAGATCTCTCCTGATCTTGAAGCAACAGGTGACACTCTTTCCCAAAGGTTAAACTGGGTGTGTATACAAGGGCTTCCAAGCGTTCCGTTTGCTCTTCTCTCCATTTACGGATACTTTCAGGCTCTGATTGCAATCGATCCACTGTGAAATAGCTGCATAACTGTCTGTTGGCCCATTACTCTCCTGGTAATATTCGCCATTCATCACGCCATCAACAGCATCTGCAAGACATAAGATTTCAGTCTTTTAATCAGGGTTGGTCAAATTTGAGCCAAAGGATTACATAGCGAAAAATATGGAACACTTCACGAATTTGCGTGTCATCCTTGCGCAGGGGCCATGCTAATCTTCTCTGTATCATTCCAATTTTTAGTATATGTGCTGCCGAAGCGAGCACCTCACAAACTTTTTATGCCCAGACTGGCCTAGAACCTCAGTCTTCCTGACCTCCAGCCTCCATGTAAGTAGGATTATTGGCATGAGCCACCAGCACCCGCTTGCCTTGCCTTTTCTAAGTGAGCTTTTACTTTCCCCATACTACTATAAACGTGTTGTCATCAAAACAGAAATGAAGCCAGGCGCAGGTGGCTCAGGCCTGTAATCCTAGGTGCTCAGAAAGCGGAGGTCAGGTGGATCGAGGCTCAAGCCCAGCTTGGGCAAAAAGTTTTCAAGACCCCATCTCAGAAATACCCATCACAAAAATGGGCTGACAGGGTGGCTCAAGTGGTGGAGTACTGCCCAGCAAGCGTGAGGCCTTGAGTTCAAGCCCCAGTACCAACCCCCCCACAAAAAAAGAGATTTATTAAAACTTTCTAAGGATATATCAAACAGCAGCTGAAGTAGTCTTGATTGGGAGTGGTTACGTTTTTTAATGTGGTGGGACATGCCAGCACTTGTGAGACTGATACAGGAGGATCAGACAAGACTACATAGTAAGATCCTGTCTCAAATAAAAAAAGAATGATAAATGGTCACAATCAGGAGTGTGATGGTGATAGTTTTGATGTCTCCGTCTCCTGTGGGTGGTACTCATAGGTCTATCTGCAGTGGCTGAAGGAGAGTGATGAGCAAGGCTCCCGCTTCATTCCTGGTTGTTCACTGATTCTTTTCTCTTTCTAGAAGAGCTACTGGATGGCGTTCTTGAATCTGATGATGATGAAGATGAAGATGATGAAGTAAGTTGAAGGCACTTGACTCTGCACAGATAGCTCCAGCCACACTCTTCCAAGTGTCTTCTCCCCTTGAGCAGTTAGTCAGCAGTGCAGGTTCCCTGTCCCCCACACTGTTCCTCTCAGTACTAGGGCTCAGCTGGGTAGTGGTTCTGTGACTCTTGTGTGAGGGCTCCTGTGACTATCTTCAGTATCCAGGCTGGCCCCGAATGCTCTTCAGGTGCCTGTCATCATTCAGTGGTCCAGCCTGAGCTTATAGGTTCAGCTGGGCTCCCAGAGGAAGAGCGAAAACTTCCTAGACTCCCCAGGCTCCAAGGTCTCAGAACATTATTTCTGCTGCATTCTGCTCAAAACACCTACCAAGCCCAGCCCAGACACGGGATGGAAATAGACTGTATCTCTGGTGGGAGGTACAGGGATGACAGGACTGGGCAGCCACGTCTGCAGACTCCACCACCCCTACAGATAGCAGACCAGCAGCATTGCCCGTCCTTTGGTTTTTTTGGGATTTTCTTCACCATGAATTCTTGCTCTGAAGGGGTGTGAGCCTCTGCCTGTCCCCTTGGTACTGGGAATGCTAAGCACACAAGCTTGTGGTGAGAAACTCTGGGCAGAGGAGTCCTGGGTTTGGTTCAGAGCAAGCAGAACCAACTGGTTACTGTGTGCGTCATATGTGATCTTTTGATATGGAAAGTCCACCTACCTGTTGTTCCCAGCAAGCGAGCAAGAAGGTTCAGAAGTTAACATGTGGAGTCTCTGGGAAATGGTAAGAGTGAAGAACAGCAGCTGGGAACTATATGAGACTGTCCTCTCATTCTTGTGGTGACAAATGACTTGAACTGAATGCTAGAAGGGTTTTCTTTTGGGGAGCTTTCACTCCAAATGTGGGTGTGGGGAAATGTATTTTATTTGCAGTTGTAGTTTCAAAAAGTGAGTGAAACTCAAGTTTGTGTTCCCTGGTGGTGTTGGTTGGGGAAATAGTTACATAAATGTCCACCAATGAGGTTGTGCTGAGATCTGCCTAGTGACTTGTCAGCAGCCTACCTCCTCCTGGCTGCTGTTTCCTTCCCAGGCTGCAGGTAGTACCTGTGGATGCTTCTGCTCTTTCCTGCTTGGTAGGAAAGAACTTGACCTCCAGCCATCACCATCCAGGGGGAGGAGCCAGCCTGAGGTCACACTGAGAGTGGTGGTTTAGCACAGGGGTGGGCAGACTCTGGTGAAGAAGAATACTGGAAGTGTTTCAGGCTTCACAGGCTGCATGATCTCTGTTTCAACCACTCTGTTTTGCCTGGTAACACATAAGAGTTGTGGGGAAACCTGGCTGTGTTCCCCTAAAATTACTTGGGGACACACTGAAAATTGAACTATCATATCATTTTCATAGTCATTAAAACATTTTTTTCAAATACTTAAAAGCATAAAACTCATTCTTAGCTTGCAGGAAAAACAAAAAACATATCTGTGCCCAAGGGCCATTGCTCCCCACCCCTCTAGGATACAACTCAGCTGCTTACTCAGCTAGCTGCTCTTGACTGTAGAAAGATACCACTTTTGTGCCTGGCCCTTCAGCACTGTTCTGAATTATAGGTTAATATTTTAATTATTTGGTTAATAAGTTTTTGTCACCCTGCGCAAAAGTTCCTCACAAGATCTATTTTTCCCCTTCCTATGTCATCCTTTTTAGATTTTCAGATGGCTTTGGTTGGTTGGTTTCGTATCATTTTGTTTTGAATTTTTTGAGACAGATTCTCCCTTTTCTTTGTAGCCCAGTCTGTCCTCCTGCCTCAGGCAGGTTACAGGTTACAGGCATTGGTCATCACACCCAGCTTGTTTTGGTTTTGGTATTAATACTTTTGTTTTGGTATTGAGAGGGAAAGTTCACTTGGTCTGTATGTCTGGTGAATTTATGCACATCTCCTTTTGGAAGCAACTGTAGTCAGGTATCATTGGACAAATATTGAGGTCTTTTAATTCTCTGGACTTGCTATGCTGCAAGTCCAGATTTTTATTTTAAGAGGTTGAGGTTTAGCTGGGTACCAGTGGCTTATGCCTGCAATCCTAGCTACTTGGGAGGCTTAGATCAGCAGGATCACCATTTAGGCAAATAGTTCTCCAGTATAACTTTTTATTTATTTTTGGGGGGTTTTTTTTGTGTGTGTGTGTGATACTGGGCCTCATGCATGCCAGGCAAGTGCTCTGCTGCTGATCTACTGCTGAGCCATTGAGGGAAATGGTTCTCAAGCCCCAATCTCCAAAATAACCAAAATAAAATGGACTAGAGGTGTGACTTAAGTGGTAGAATGCCTGCTTTGCAAGCATGAAGCCCTGAGTTCAAACCTCAGTCCCACCAAAAAAACAAAAAAGAGTTTGAGGTTTGAAAACATTTGTTGTAAAATTAGAGATAAGGGCAAAATAGTTTCTGCTGGGTATTGAGGGGGGGAGCGGGAGGGGGTAGAGTGGGTGGTAAGGGAGGGGGTGGGGGCAGGGGGGAGAAATAAACCAAGCCTTGTATGCACATATGAATAATAAAAGAAAAATGAAAAAAAAAAAAGAAAACATTTGTTGTGATAACTAGAATTTTCAGACTACTAGAAGAGTTTAGTTAGGAAACTACTAGGACCAAAATATGACTCTGCAATCATGGGCTGTCCCTTCAGAGCAGTTTTCATAGTACACTGCAGTCTGTCATTCTGGATTCTACTCAGTTTTTGCCAAGAACTGTCGTTTAAAATTGGAAGGGAAAAAGTAAGTGACAGATGCTTAGGCTAAAGGAAAACCCCAAGAACCCGTGAGCAGTAGTACTATTGTCACCTCTCAAAGTGACAACACTGAAGGAGACTGTGGAGCTAGTGTGAGGACACTAGAGGCATAATCCACCTTGCTTCATCTTTATATTTAGATCTAAAATACAGACGATGAAGCCACTGTCTTCATTTAGCTGTTTAGGGATGTGGGCTGTAGAGAGGACTGGAGTCCAGGGTACCTTTGTCTGCCCTGCTCACACTGAACTGAAATCTATGCACTTGTTATACACACCATGACTAGTCCTCCTTACATGAAGCTGAAGGGGACCCCAGATGCAGAATGTGATTTTTCTCTCTGATTTCTAAGAAATGTAGTAACTTTATCTAATGTGTTAAAACTCAGTTATGTTTGAATATATAAAACTAAAATTTAAAAATTAAGAGTCAGGCTGGGCGAGGCAGCATGTGTAACCTGTAATCCCAGCAGGAAGCTGAAGCAAGAGATTTGTGAGTTCAAGGTCAGCCTGGTCAACATAGCAAGACCCGGTCTCAAAAAAAATTATACAGTTATATATGTCTTCTGATTTATGGGCCATCTAGGGTGTAATGTACAATGAAAAATAAAATTGTAAAGTTAGTGTTAACAGTATTTAAAACAAAGCAAACATATAGATACCCACATGCCTGGGGGTTATAGATGTGCTTGTGTGTCCATGGAACAGAAAGGTGTGGAAAGTTCCGCCCTTTTTATTGACATTAGGCGCTATAAGGGGGGAGGAGGAATGAGGAACTGGGGGTGAGAAGTGAAGGGAGGCCTGGGTCAATGGGGCCCGGGTCTGCAGCTCCAACAAGAGAGAGAAGTGAAAATATAGGACAATGGATGCAGTGACGAGGGGGTTGGCTGCTGCCCAGCTCTGAGGATATTGATGGGGCAAAAGGCACTCTGGGGTGAACTGAGTGAGGAGCAGGTGGGATGTAAGAAAATGGCACTAACAAATGTGTGCCACTCTTCCCACACACGTGGCCACAGGCAGGAAAAAGTGGCAAAATGGGCATTTTTGTTTGGTCTCATTTGGTTTAAGATGGGAGAAACCTAACCATGTCAAGTGCTTCTGGGAAGACTCCAGGGGAGAGGTAAGGCTGGACAGCAAGGCAGAGGGGAAAGATGGCCTTGGAAGGACCTGTGTTTCATTATATTCCAGGTTGCTTCTTATGCTCTCTTGGCCCACAAGGCCATAGATCCATCTAAACCTCCAGAGAAACAAAAGCACCAGTAGATAGCCTGGAGACACACACAAGATAATGGACAGTGGCACCTGCTGCACCAGGCGGATGCAGTGCCTCTCGCACTTTGAAGAAATGCACTTTAGTTTTATGATTAACATGTTTGAGTCAAAGATCCAGGGCCTGCTACCAGTGTTCTCCTCACAAAAGTCTCAGGTTTCCGTAGTGCATGTTGAGGTGAGGTTCCTCGTGTCTGGCTCACAAATGGCTTTATGTGGAGATGAAAGGCCTCTCTGTGCTAATCTAGAAGACTGATTTTAAGACAAATATTCTCCCCTCTTAACAAAATAGGTTTCAGCGCCAGGTGAAGCCAACCACGGATATTGACTTCTTGGATCCATGTAAATAACAATCATGATCGATTTCCTTCTGCATACACTTCTCAAAGTTGAGTCATCCACTATTTATTGAACAAATATTTAAGGGCCTTGAAATGACAGTGTTCTAGAAAATAACAAGGAAGGGATGCAAGAAAAAAAATCTACAAGAGAATCTGGTTTACAGTATCTCCAAGAGCTCCTAATCTCAGTTGACGAGACTGTGGTGGTCCTGAGGTCAGCAACTGCCACCTGTGTGGCATCACCATGTGGCTGGCACTGCTGTAGCACCTTACCTGTGTTCCCTGTCTCACAGGGAGCCTTCTGCTAGCGCTGTTACTGTTCCTGTTCTGCAGATGAGGAGACACAGGGAAAGAGTGTGCTTACCACATTCCAAAGCTAATTAAGTACACGGGTATGAGTGGAACTCATACCCAGGTGGTCTGAGTCAGCAGAGCATGACCTTGGAGCACCTCTTCTCAGATATGGAGACAAGACACAGCAAGTGATAGAAAATAAGCAGTTACAGGTGCATAAAGGGGATAGAAACAAGAAGTGCTACGGAAATTCCAAGTATTCCATCATACTAAAAAAGATAGTTGGCTGGAACAAGGCAAGCCTAGTGTGAAGAGTAAGTGTGGGACTCAAGTGTAGAGTGCCT